CCTTCCTTCCTTCCTTCCTTCCTTCCTTCCTTCCTTCCTTCCTTCCTTCCTTCCATCCATCCTTCCATCCTTCTTTCCATCCACTCGTGTGCCTGTTTTGAGAGAGGGAGACCAGAGAAAGGAGGTGATGGCAGTGCAGTGTTTGGTGTAAGGTTTTTCCTGCTAGCAAAGTGACTTGAGGGTTGGGAAGTCCACCTTGTCTTTAAGCAGGTGAGTGAAAATCACTAGAAAAGATCACTGGTTGAACCAAACGAGAAGTTAATTTAATAGAAAGTATAGGAGGTGTGTGCCAAGGAAGAACATCTGCCTGCTCCTTCAGAGAAAGTTAAATATTCTTTTTTATTTTTAAAAAATAAATTTATTTATTTATGGCTGCGTTGGGTCTTTGTTACTGCGTACGGGCTTTCTCTAGTTGTGGAGAGCGGGGCTATTCTTCATTGCGGTACATGGACTTACCATTGCGGTGGCTTCTCTTGATGCAGAGCATGGGCTCTAGGCGCCCTGGCTTCGGTAGTTGTGGCTCGTGGGCTCTAGAGCACAGGCTCAGTAGTTGTGGCGCATGGGCTTAGTTGCTCCATGGCATGTGGGATGTTCCCGGACCAGGGATCGAACCCGTGACCCCTGCATTGGCAGAAGGATTCTTAACCACTGTGCCACCAGGGAAGTCCGAAAGTTAAGTATTCTTAAAGACCTCTTGTATTTAATCCCCCCGACCTGGTCCTGGAAAGCATTTTAGTTTCCTTAAAATGAAATGCCAGGACCTTGCTAGTTTGCACACTCATTTGCCTAAGTTTACATAGAGAGTTCAAGCCCTAATTCCGAGGAAGGTAAAAGAAATTTAATTAATGCAAAAAGCTGCAATTATATTCACCTCTGTTTTTCAGAGCAAGCATGTGTGAAATACATAAAGATTTCATCTCAACCAGTGTGTTTCATCTCATCCTCCAGTAAGAGGAGGTACACACATAGCCACAACATCCCGTGTGTGACTGTCCCCTCTGCCCCTGCACAGCCATCTTTGGTGACTCAGCTGAAGTTGGTTGCATGTCAACATGCAGACCCCTGGCTGTTCTCCAGCCTTTGCCTCTTCCATCCACTCAGTTCCCGCTCCCCTTCCCAGGTCACTTCCCGAGGCTGCTGCTCTAGCTGTGTCCCCAGGCTCGTTTCACCCTCAGGGCTATACCACCTTTACCATCATTCATTGCCACGGGAGGCAAGTCGGGACCACTGCTGAAGGGAAGATCTCGGAGGAGGTCGAGGGACACAAGGGACAGCTCCCCGTGTGCCCACACCAGAGAGGCCAGGTGTCCCCGACGTGTGGGTACCGCTTCACCGCCACCTCAGCAAGTGCTCACTGTGAACTGGGTCCTGGCCTGGCAGAGACTACAGGGGACAATGCACAGGGCCCTGCCTCATGGAAACCTCATGCAAGGAGGGGGAACTGACCAAGAGAAAGAAAGAAGGGGCAGAAGAATAAAAAAGAATTGCAAGTGCCAAGAAGAAAACAAAAGGGATGTGAAGAGTGATGGGGCTTCCTGCTCAGGTGGGCTGGTCAGACAGTGCTGTTTGGATGAGGTGATGGTGACGACGGGCCTGGGCCAGCGGGGAAAGGCTTCTCTGCTCTGGGCTGAGTGGTTTCAGGGCACTGTGTCACCTGGTCCCCAGGCTGACCTTGGGAGATTTCATCCCAATGCAGAGGTGAGGAAGCAGGTTCAAGGAGGTGAAGGAACCCCCGGTCACAGTGAGTTGGTGGTAGAGCAGGAAGCTCAAGCTTTCTGGCTCCATAGGCTGTGTGCTTGGCAGCCGCACAGTGGTTGGGATGGTGGAGGAAGTTGGCCAGGTGATGAGGCTAGACTGGTGATGCAGGGCTGTTCACACGTTTCTCTGGAGGCAACGTTGTGGTTCTCTATTCAGGGCTGGAGCTTTGGAAAGATTTTATCTGGTGATAGTGACTTTTAAAAAAATGGCTTTATTGAAATGTATTTTACATGTAAAATTCACCATTTCAGGGATTTTTTTAAAGCAAATTTACAGAGTTGCTTTAAATTTTTTAAAGCAGATTTACAGAGTTGAGCACAGTGGGATTTTAGAACATTCACGAGGCCTAAAAAGTTCCCTTGTACCTATTTGCAGTCACTCCCCACTCCCACTCCCAGCCCCAGGTAACCACTAAGCCTTCTGCCTCTGTGTTGTTTGCCTTTTCTGGACATTTCATGGAAATACATCGTGTATCTTTCATGTCCATTTCCCTTCACTTAGCACAATGTTCTTGGCGTTGGCTCCTGGACTTTGTGGTATGTATTAGGAGTTCCTTTTTATTGCCGAATACCATCTCATTGTATGGATATTCGAGTTGTTTCCAGTTCTTGACTATTATGAATAATGCTGCTGTGAACATTTGTACGTAAGGTTTTTTTGTGGTCATTTGTTTTCATTTCTCTTGGATAGATAACGTAAGAGTAGAATTGATGGGTCATTCTGTTTATGACTTTGGTGACTTATTAGGTTTAACTTTTTGAGGCACTGCCAAACTGTTTTCTGAAGTGGCTGTACCATTCTACATCCCCCTCAGCAGGATGTGAGGGTTCCAGTTTCTCCATACCCTCACCAACACTTGTTATCATCTTTTTGACTACAGCAATTCCAG